ATTGAGGATCGAGGTTCGAGGATCGGGATCCGAGGTGCGAGGATGCGAGGGTAGGGGAGTGAGGATCGAGGTTCGAGGATCGGGATTCGAGGTGCGAGTATGCGAGGGCAGGGGATTGAGGATCGAGGTGCGAGGATCGGGATTCGAGGTTCGAGGATGCGAGGGTAGGGGATTGAGGATCGAGGTTCGAGGATCGGGATTCGAGGTTCGAGGATGCGAGGGCAGGGGATTGAGGATCGAGGTTCGAGGATCGGGATCCGAGGTTCGAGGATGCGAGGGTAGGGGATTGAGGATCGAGGTTCGAGGATCGGGATCCGAGGTTCGAGGATGCGAGGGTAGGGGATTGAGGATTGAGGATCGAGGTTCGAGGATCGGGATTCGAGGTTCGAGGATGCGAGGGCAGGGGATTGAGGATCGAGGTTCGAGGATCGGGATTCGAGGTGCGAGGATGCGAGGGTAGGGGATTGAGGATCGAGGTTCGAGGATCGGGATCCGAGGTTCGAGGATGCGAGGGTAGGGGATTGAGGATCGAGGTGCGAGGATCGGGATCCGAGGTGCGAGGATGCGAGCGTCCGAGGATCGAGGGTCGAGGATTCGAGGTTCGCAGGTCGAGGTTCGCGGGACGAGGGTCCGAGGTTCGAGGGTCTAGGATCGAGGTTCGAGGGTCGAGGTTCGAGGGTCGAGGATCGAGGTTCGAGGGTCTAGGATCGAGGCTCGAGGGTCGAGGTGCGAGGGTCGAGGATCGAGGTTCGAAGGTCGAGGTTCGAGGGTCGAGGATCGAGGTTCGAGGGTCGAGGATCGAACGAACAAGAATCTGTGGTGCAAAGATGGGGTCCTGAAGGATGGGGTCCTCAGGGTAGGAATGGATCCAAGGATGGACTCGCACTGTTTGAGGCACCTCGGTCTTATGACCCCATCCTTCAGACCCCCATCTGCGAGACCCCGAGCGTAGGCCTCCCAGATAGGTGGGTTCAGAGAAGGTTGGTCGGGGGATCCCGCCGCATCGCCCATGCATCGGTCAGGAGGCTCGATGTGGACGGCGATTTTCTTCACGACGACGTCGCCGATGCATCGCCGACGGCGCTGATGCCTTGCCGTTGCGTCGGCGCGGGGGAAGGGGCGGATGGGGTCAGAAGGGGGCCAGCTGAGGCAACGGTGGAGTTGGACTTCAGAGGGGGTGACGCCGCGTCGCCACGGCTGCTGGACGCAGCTTTGGAAATTTGCTCCTTTGTCGGGATCCCGCGAAGGTGTGTGTGTGTGTGTGTGTGTGTTTGTGACCCGGCGTGTGAGTGTGTGTGGGTGTGTGGTGTGTGTGTGTGAGAGAGTTCGATCGGTTTTTGCACCGAACTCTCCAAAACAGATGCCCCCCATCCGCCGGCAATTCCCGGTAGTTGCCGATAGGTGGGAATGCCGGGGGGCATCTGTTGGTGGCAGTTCGGCGCACCAACGGATCGATTTCACGCCCCCCCTCAGGGTCACCCCACCTGGTGTGTTCCGAGTTTGGGCCCCAGGAGGGGTCCAGGGACCGATTCTGTTCGTTGCATCTTCGGGGGACCTCGCCTGTCCCCAAACTTGGTGTCCTTCCTGGTGCCCGACGCGGGCTCGATGCGAAATCGCACTCATCGGCGGCACGGCATCGGCGCGGATTCGACGCGGTTTGGTCACTGATCCGACGACCCCGACATGGATCCCAGGCCGCGACGGGACAGATAAGGTCCCCCGAGGATGCAACATAACGATTCTGCGCTGCCGATGTTGACTTCCGAGGAGTGCCCTGTGTTTCGAGGTTCCAAGGCTTCGAGGCTCGATGCTTGCCGACGTTCACCACCCACCAAACCACCCCAGCCCAACCCGAAGGCCCCACTTAGCCCTGCATTTCCAGTAGGGCGGCGTCGGGGGACACGGGAAACACACATAATATTATGAAGCCCGTACCCCCCCAACCCGAAATTCGGGTCTTCGGGTTGGGTTGGGGTGGTCTGGTAGTTAGTCAGTTTGGGCCCCAGGAGGGGTCGGGGGACCGAGTCTGCGCTGCCGATGTTGAGCTCCGAGCAGTGCCCCTGGTTTCGAGGTTCTAGGGCTTCGAGGCTCGATGCTTGCCGACGTTCACCACCCACCACACCACCCCGGCCCAGCCCGAAGGCCCCACACTTAGCCCTCCATTTTGCAGTAGGGGGGCGTCGGGGAACACTGAACAACAACACAGAGGGAAGCCGTACGCTCCCTCCAATCCGAAATTTAGGTCTTTGGGTTGGGTTGGAGCGTAGGTAATGAGACGTTTCCGTCCGTTCCCGGGGGTCTTCCAGCCTCGGGATGCGCCCCAGCAGCTGGGCCTCGCCGAGGGCCTCGCCGAGATTTTTTCAGGTCGTCCCCGGCCGCGGTCGGAGACCCGAGCCGCGACCCGGAAGCTGGACGCCCTCGCGCCGTGAAGCCACTGTCACAGGAGTTTTGGGGAGCACCTTTCGGGCGAAGAGAATTATGCACATACACCGATCCTGGCAAGGCCCATTTTTGACCCAGGATCGGTGCATATGCCTTCCTGGCCAAGGTAGGAGGGCGTATGCACCGATCCTGGGCTCAGGATGGGCCTGGCCAGAATCGGTGCATGTGCATAGTTCTTTTCCCTCTAACCTTTCTGCCCCTGGGGGCCCCCACGCGGCCCCCGCGGCCCCCCGGGGGGCCGCGAAAGATCGGCTCGGGCTGGATGCTCAGCGTTGCGAGCGAACGTCTCCTCGCGGAAAACCGCGACCAGGCCCCCAGACCCCAATGTTCCTGCGGTGTGGTCCCAGCCAGCTCGACCCTGGGATGGTCTCAGGGCCCGACGCCGGGCCAGACCACCGGGTGTGAAACATGCAACGCCCAGATTCCAGGGAGCCACGCGTACAAGAAACACTGTGTCGGATGTTTGGTGCCGTTGCGACGCCGCTGGTCGTCGTCGTCGTTGCCAGCGCCGTCTTTGTCGGCGGAGGGGGAAATGCAGCGGCAGGCTGTGCAGGTTGTCAGTGACTTCTCGGGCGTTGGTGCAGCCGCAGCTGGTGGATCTCGGACGCTTCAAGGCAGTGGCGCGAACTCGTCATGGCATAGGAGTTGGTGTTGCTGCAATTGTTTCACGCTTCGCCCAGTTTCGGGCCCCAGGGCCATCACACATGGAACAGGGTCGGAAAATGTCGCAGACAGATCGGGTCCAGGGTTCCTGGTCGAGATTTTTCGCGATGTTACATGTGTTTGCAACGTCGTATCTCAAGGAAGCAGCAGGATCAGGAGGCAGGGAAGAAAGTGGCAAAGAACCAGAGGGGGAGGGGAGGACGGGGAAACCAAGGAGGAGAAGGAGATGACACACGAAGGAAGGAAGGGAGGAAAAGACAGAGGATGGGCAGGAAGAAATATGTGGAGGCGAGGGTGGGTGGAAAAGGAGGGGGAGAAGGAAGACGGAGTAGTAGGAGGAGCGGAGGAGACCCAGACTGACGAGGTGTGGTGAGGCGTGGCAGGTAGGCGATGGAGTTGGCTGGAGGATGAGAGGATGATGCATGGGACACGAGGGCCAGGGTGGCGGTGGCGGAGAAAGAGTGGCGATGAGGAGGAGGGGGAGGAGGACGAGGAGGGGGCAGCGGATGGAGAAGGAGGAGGCGGTGGACAAGGAGTAGGAGGAGGAGTAGGAAGATGGAGGAGGAGAGGGATGGAAAAGGAGGGGGAGGAGGAGGAGGTGGAGGAGGAGGAGGAGGAGTGGAATCTGGAGGCTGGCAAGTCCGGTTTTGGGGCGAGGTCGGTGGAGGGGGAGAAGCACCGCTTTAGGATCATCCAATGAGTACGTACCCCGGGTGAAGCACACGCCCCCTGGAGGGGGTCGAGAAATCTGAGGCACATGTCTCTAGCAAGCCGAGCCGTCAGATGTTGATGACATGTCTCCTCTTGTTCCCGTCGTCCACCCACTCGTCGTCCTGCTCTTCCTCCTCCTCATTTCCGTGTCTCCCGCCCTTCAACCCTCCTTCTCCCCCTCTTCCCCATCGCGAAACCAAGACATCCGCTCAGATCTCTGCAATCTTGTGCACATTCCGTTGTGTCGTCTTCGATCTTCGGTATCCCGCGTATTCTGCCTGTCCCGCGCCCTCGCGTGGATCGCGCGCACCGCCTCTGGCAATGGAGGCGGAGCGGCTGTACATGCGCGCGCTGCGAGGGCGAAGGGCGGCACTAGGCGACGACCACCCAGAGGCCGCCGCCGCCGCCGCTTCGCCTCCCCTTGTCGCCGTTCGTCGTTGTCGTCCATCGTCTGCCGTCGTCTTCTCTCGTCGTCCGAGGAAGAGAATCGACATAGAAGTGTGAACCAGCGTGGGGCCCGAACAGCGATTCATTCCTTACCCTCCATCGTTGGGTTCTTGTTTTGAATGGAGCGCTGTGGTCTCCAGTCCTCCTCCTCCTCCTCCTCCTCCTCCTCCTCCTCCTCCTCCTCCTTCTCCTCCTCCTCCTCCTCCTCCCTCTCCTGCCCCCTCCTCCGACTCGTCCTCCTGCTCCTCCTTTCTTCCGCCTCTTCGTCCCTCTCGCGGCTCCCTGGGGGGGGTCGCGAAGAGTGCCGCTCTCGCCACTCTCTTCGGCTCCACGAGCGAGCGATTGGCAAGCGATTGGCAAAGCATGCGGCAGGGGCCGACGGCTCGGACGCGGCACGGCCCGTCTTCGTCCAGCCGCAGACGTCGAGCCCTGTTGACCCCCGCGGGCGTGAAGTCACGCGCACGGGCTTGCAGACCTCCCCCGCTAAAACAGGGCTAGGATCGGGATAAATCGCTCCAGAGCGTTCGGGAGCGCTCTCAGAGCGTTCCGGAACGCTCTGGAGCGGCCGCGGCGCCCAACACATCCTCCAAGCCCGCCGATCCTCAGAGATTCCGAGTTCTCCCGATCCGATGTTGCCCCGATCTTCGCGTCGTTTTTGGCGTGGAGTCGCGCGCACGGGCCTGCAGACCTGCCCCGCCCAGGTGCTGACGTCTATGGCGTGGCAAGGCCGGACCAGGCACCCGGGCGCCGTTGCCGACGCCGGGCGTGCGTGCTGACGACACCGGTCGGCCTCCTGGCTCCGCTTGTGCGTCCACGCTCCCCTGCGCGGCGACGCCCGGCCACCTGCCCACGGTTCGCGGCCCGGGCCTCGACGTGTTGCCCCGGGGGCCGGGCCTAAAACGACGCGAAGATCGGGACAACATCGGATCGGGACAACTCGAAATCTCTGAGGATCGGCGGGTTTGGAGGATGTATTGGGCGCCGCGGCCGCTCCAGAGCGTTCCGGAACGCTCTGAGAGCGCTCCGGAACGCTCTGGAGCGATTTATCCCGATCCTAGCCCTGTTTTACGGGCCGCTGGCGGACGGGGGCCGCGCGCCTCCAGGTGCGCAGTACCCGCGCTGAGCGCTGCAGGAGTCAGGAGGGGAGAAAAGGCACACACAGACACAAGTCATCGTGGATTCCCCCGAAAATATGGGAGATGATGGGAAGTGGGGGGGAAGACAGAAACCCAGAAAGTTTAGGACAATATGGTGAATCTGGCTATTTGCGTATATTTCTTTGTGTGTTCCAGTTCCCCTTCGAGGAGGACGGCGGAGAGGTTGCCGCGCCGAGCTCGGCCTGGCTGAGTTCCCGCACGAGCGGCGGAGAAGCATGTGCCCGAGATGTCAGGCGAGTCCGCGTCCGTCGCCGTCGGTGCCTCCATGGCGCGGGCGGCGGCGCCGGCGACTGACAGCGACGAGCCGCATCTAAAGTGTCTCGGGTTCACATCGCGCGCGGCGCCGTCCCACCGTGTAGCGTTCGGCGCTATCACATCGCAGCGAGCCGCGGGGCCACGCAGCGCGTGGCGCATCTTCGCGCCCGCGCGGCATCCGCGCGTCAGCCGCTCTTTGCCCGCCGTGCAGTCCGGTGCGTGCCCGCCAGTGCCGCGCCCAATGCGCTTCCCGTGTTGTGTGTTTCTTGTGGTTTTCGCTGCGGCGCCCTTTCGTTTCCACCTTCGGGTGTTTTGCCTGCGGCGCCGTTTTGTTTTCAGTCTGGTGCGTGGTCGATTTCTCGGGTGACCGCGCCCTGTTGCTACCATTGTGTGATGTTTGGTGCGTCTCGTTGCGCCCATGTCGCGCGCTTCTTAGTTCCACGTTTTCGGCCGCCTGTTTTACCATATTGTGTTTCCATGTTTGGGACTTTGTCGTGTCTTCATGCTCGCGTGTGTTGAGCTGTCCTGGGCTAGCCGTCGCATGGTTAGGAAACGATTGGGTGCGTCGCGGGGTAAGTGCATTGCGGAGATGGGAACTATGCGGTGCAAGCAGTGTTTGTGTAGTGGCGACCAAGTTGGCTAAACCACTCGGCGTAAGCTATAGAGATGAAGACGACGCGGTGCAACCTATGTGCGTAATTTATGTCGTGCGAGGTGTGTTGTGCAGCTCCGTGGTGTAAGCCATGTGGCGTAAGCCATGTCGTGTGGGCGTTGCGGTGCATGGTGCGTGGTGCAAGCTCAGTGCACGAGGCTACGTGGTATACCGTGTGAGGCACGAGCGGCAACGCGGCGAAAGCCCAACATGCCCCCGCAAGCGCGGGGCGCCCACGAGGCGGCACGGACCCACGATGTGGCGCAACCTCGGCATATCCCACAAGCGCGGGTCGCCCATGAGGCGCCCACGGGGCGGCACTGGCCCGCAGCGTGGCGATTCCCCGCCGTAAGTAATGCACGTGGGGGCCCCAACGTGCAAACATTGCGCGGTGTTCGTGGAAATGCGTTGGGCCGCCTTGTCGGTGTTTGGCACCGCCCTGAATGCCGAAGGGGGGCGGAAGCGCGGGACCAAGAAGTCAGCTCGGACTTCCCAAAGTTTGGGGTCATGCATTTGTTGTTGCCCAAACCGTCTTCCATAGTATTCGTCAGCAGTCGTGCCATCGCGTAGGTCGTCGTAGTGGTAATTGCGAAGCCAGCTGTAACAGTATTCATGTTTGGTGTTTGGTGCTTGGTGCTTGGCGTTTGGGGTTTGGGGTTTGGGGTTTGGTGTGTGGGATTTGGGGGTTTGGGGTTTGGTTTCTGGTGTTTGGGATGTGGTGTTTGGTGTTTGGGGTGTGGGGTTTGGGTTTGGTGTTTGGGGTTTGGGGAGTGGTGTTCTGAGCTTGGTGTTTGGGAGTTGTTGTTTCAGGTTTGGTGTTTGGGGTTTGGGGTTTGGCGTTTAGTGTGTGGGGTTTGGTGTTTGGGGTTCGGTGTTCCAGGTTTGGTGTTCTGAGTTTGGTGTTTGGGAATTGGTGTGTGAGGTTTGGTGTTTGGGGTTTGGGGTTTGGCGTCTAGTGTGTGGGGTTTGGTGTTTGGTGTTTGGTGGTTGGGGCGTGGTGTTTGAAGTTTTGGGCTAGGCGCGTGGTGAGGTCTGGGATTTTGTGTTTGGAATTTGGTGTTTGGGGTTTGATGTTTTGGGTTTGGTGTTTGGGTTTGTGTGTTTAGGGGGTTGGTGTTTGGGGCGTGTTGTTTGGGGTTTGGGGTTCGGGGTTTGGTGCGAGGTGTTTTGAGTTAGGTGCGTGTTGCTTGGGCGTCGGATGTGTTGTTTGGAGGGGGGGGGGGGGGCTGCAAGGGTCCCGCTCCGAGAACCAACCGACTCGGCATTTGGCTACGATTCCCCCCGACAATCCCAAAGAACAGTTGCTGTTGCCGGGGAGGGGGGGGGGGGGATTCGATTCGATTCGGTGATATTGGAAACCTGTGTGCGGGCACAGCCCCACGGGGGCCGACCAAACAAGTACAATAACCTCATCAAGGCGCGGGAAAGGACATGCCACTCTTCGGAGGCTTACCTTTCGCCAGCCGCGCGAGGTTGTTACGCCCTGTGGCCGTGGGATTATGGGGGCATTCGTCGGCCAACTTCTGCGCATTGTGCATCGCGAAAGCCCCGCACGACCGACAAAACAGCACACCTTTGAATTCAGAAAGGGCGCGCGACAGGTGCGTGCGGCTAAAAACACGGGTGGGCCGTCGGGTTACCTTGGGAAGGTTCAGCGCTGGCGGAGGGCTCCAATTGCAGACTAGACGAGGTCCCCAACGCCAGCGCCCCAGGGTAAGGACAGGGCCGAAACTTAGAAACCTCACCGCGAACAAACGAGAATTTGCGGAGGCACCGTGCACGCTTAGAGGACGCAGCCACTTTAACAACATCATGACCCTGAGCCCTCAACTTGTCTTTGCGGAGATTCAGAGAGCTCGGGCCACGTACACGATGCAACACTCTACCAATCCGGTCTTCTCGAGTACGTGGGCACGCGAGGCACGCATGGCGAGACACAGCTACCAGCCTTGTCAGGACCGCCAGACAGTTCGCATCAACATTCGGGACCTCCTGAATCGTGTCATTCGGGAGGGACCCCCACCTGGCAGTTCCCCCCGCAAAGTGGTCGGCAACACCATTGGCGACTAATCCCTGGGGGGAGGGGTCAGGCGGAGATCGCAGACATCACCATAAACATGATGGCCTTTCGCCCAAGAGTCAGACATTACACGTGCCAATTTCCAATTCATGTCATACTAGCTGCCGCAGGTCAAGCATGCACGACTGGTCAACTGCCGCGCCAGTCGCCTCAAAGGCCCGAGCGATGGGAAGGACATCCGTACACAGCCTGGCGCCACCTTCAACAAGGCGCAGAAGCTTGAGAAGCGCATGCACCTCCGCGCGAGGAGAGGAATGATCAGGACCTGGGAGGGCCCCGCAGATGACGCCGCCCACCTGCAGGGGCCCTGGTCGGTGGTGCACAACCGACCACGCACAACGTCTCAGCCTCCAGTCCAGAGCTTGGGCCCCGCCAGACCCACCACTTTCGAATATACCACCCGAGATCCCACTGCCGTGCTGAAGCGCCCCCAGGAAACGATCCCCAAGCGCGTGCGTTCGCTTCCGGAGCAGGGGGAACGCCGAGAGTCCACCCGAGAGGCGCCAATCCTCGAGTCCAAAAGCAATCGGAATCAGGAATACGTTCACGGGAATATAGATACATGTGGGCGGTGTGGTGGGGGTAACATCATCAATGTCATCAGTGCGTTGGCGTTCCCAGGACTTGCCCCACGGGGTCTCAAGGCGCACTCCGCGTCGAGGGCGCATCCCAGCACTGGCGTAGCTTGAGTCCTTCAGGCGCTGCTCTGGCGCTTGGGCACCAGCTGCAAGAATTCAAAGTAGCGGCCCCATCGTAGTCGCCGTGGCGCGCCAGTGCCTTCCGCAGCTGCCCCAAGGTGGCC